GCCTAGAGTAGAAACCTACAGTGGAAGATAGTCAAACCTTAGCAAAGATATCAGAGATAGAAAAGAAATGCAATCAGCAGCAATATTCTGGCTATTCCTAAGTAAAAGGAAACCAATAATTCAGGAGAAAGGTGATTAATAAATGGTGTATTTGTATTAAAGAGGGAAGACATAAGAGGAACTGATAAAATAAAACATTGGGACATTCAAGAAAAATAAGATTTATGGATATATTAAATAAAAAATAAAGATCACAAAAACAGGATCTATGGACATCATTATAGTTAACTAATAAGATGTTAAGTATGACTTTATAGATAATTGAATAATTTCACCAATTCCACAAAAGCCAGGTTTTGAAGAGTTTAGAAAGGACAGAGTTGAGAGAAATAAGAAAATATGGAAACACTAAAGAGGAAAATTCAATAGAAAAAAGAAAAAAAATGGGGGACCACAGCTCTAATTTGAATCATAAAGAGTACTATTATTCTTTAGTTTTGAAATGTTAAAAACAATAAGCAAAGATATTACATTAAGTAGAAATAACACATTTCTAAAACAGGGACTCAACTGAAGAATGATGGAAATTTGAAGTTACAGTTAATAGTCAATTCATTTTTATTGAATTATGGTTCAATAAACCTGGCATAGGTTTTTTTAAAAAAATAAAGTAAATGAGACAGACAATACCTCCTTTTTGTATATGAAATTGGTTTAAATAAGAAATAATTTTCATTACCAATAAAATCTATATTATCTGTAATAATATAAATGTTGACAATGGCATTTGGCATACTACATGTTTCAGGAGGAGATAAGTTACCAGCAAGTTAAATTATTTATATAAGAAAAGATCCATACTATCTTTAAAGGTAAAATATAGGCATACCTCATTTTATTGTGCTTTGCAGATACTGCATTTTTACAAATTGAAGGTTAATGAGAACTCTGAGTTGAGCAAGTCTATTGGCATCATTTTTCCAACAGCATTTGCTTACTTCATGTCTCTGTGTCACATTTTGGTAATTCTCATAATATTTCAAACTTTTCCATTATTATTATATTTGTTATGATGATCCATGATCAGTGATCTTTTATGTTACTACTGCAATTGTTTTTGGGCACCATGAACTGCAGCCATATAAAACAGGTAATTTAATCGATAAATGTGTATATTTTGGCTGCTACACCATCTTCCTCTCCTAGGGAGAATCTAGTCTCTGAGACACAGCAATATTGAAATTAGACTAATCCATAATCCTAAAATGGCCTCTACGTGTTCAAGTGAAACAAAGAGTCCAACATCTCTCACTTAAATCAAAAGTTAGAAATGATAGAGCTTAATGAGGACGGCATGTGGAAGGATAAAAGCTAGTCCTCTTGTGCAAGTTAGCCAAGTGGTGAAGGCAAAGGAAAAGTTCTTGAAGATCAAAAGTGCTACTCCAGCGAACACACAAGTGATAAGCATGTGACACTGCCTTAGTGCTGATACGAAGAAANAAAAAAAATGTTACAAATATGACTGTTGTCATAGTACTGAGATGTCTCTTCCTGACACTATCTGAGAAATTAAGTTATAGATTTAGGATAAACAAAATACACATTGAAATATAAAATTGAATATATAAATTTAATGTCAATATTTGCATGTGTAACCTCTTGCCAATTCCTCCTTAATTCTATATGAGGTGTGCGCAAAACATATGGTGAGCATTTTCATTGTGATCACAAAATATGGTGAATGCTGCTGCCGAGTGCCATCCAATGGAAAGGCAGAGATCTTCAATACGGGAAGTGCATGTGGAACCTTAGTAACAGTGTGTGGCAAGTTTCAACTTGTTCAGTGCAGTTAGTCAGGTGTGAGCTATGGTTGAGAGAAGGTGTGTTTGAAAGTGTGCTGTAAATCATCCTCCATCATGAAACCACTCTGTGTCACACATCGCTCCTGGTACATGGCAATTTCTGTCAAATAATAACATTATGGTGTGTTCTCATCCACCTTATTCACCGGATCTGGCACCAAGTGACTTCTGGCTCTTCCCCAAAGTCAAAATGATTCAGTACATTGAAGCAGCCACGACAGCGCAACTAAAGACACTTGAAAAAGAGGACTTCCAGAACTGCTTCAGAAAGTGGCAAGAATGATGGGATAAGTGTGTTCACAGAGATGGGGATTAATGGCAATGTGCCTTTTACTGTAGTAATTTTTTTAAAAATTTAAACATTCATTATATTGCTTGATCACACCTTGTACCTGTCAATGAATATTGCAACTTCTTTTTAAATGTTTTTATTACCTGACAAAGACTCTCTTAGTCACCAAACTCTAGTCAGGCTCCTCTGAGCTCTCTTTTCAACTAGTCTTCAACCTTGGCCTATAACAACTGCAAACTCTTGGCACAAAGAATTTGATTCTCCATTCCCATCCACCCGCCCCACCCCAATAAGAGACTATAACAAATACTGGCATAGTTTTTACCAGTCAAGGCATCATCCCTATAATGACCCAATGCCCTTAAAGTGCCTGTCACAGAAAGCTCAACACTGACAGGAGAATTGACTGCTCCAGCACACACCTGGTGATAAGCAGACTGGCCCCTGNACTTCTAGATGCTCATTATTTCACCAAAGAGATACATAATAAACAATATGATAGATAGGAATACAAAACAGCAAATTAAAATGTGACCACATATTCATGGACAATATATTCTAGACATAGAAAGGAGAAACAAGTGAAGAGCAAGAATATTTAGAAGAAGATTCCATTAAAGAAGAAAGATTTGAGCTAATAGATTTTAAAGAAGATCAGGATTTTTTGAGATGAAGAGGGAAAAGTATAATCTAAGTAGAAGAAATAAAATGGAAAAGTTTATGATGCATGGGTTCTTAGCAACCTAATTAAGACTTTGTTCCCACTATTGGAAAGTTTTAAAAAGTACAAAAACAGTAAGAAAAAAAAAGTGCATACTCATAAAGAAATCACACACACTGAAATGCAATTATCAACATTAAACAATAAACACTTTCAGGTGTAATAATATATGTGTGTTTTTATTAATGCATTCAATATCAAGATTCAGCACTTGGTCTAATGACCTCCATTATTGAAGTAGATGTGGTTTTCAAAGCTTGAAGATAAGTGATATTTGGAGATATTGACAACAACTTTAAAGGGATATGAATAGGTCTATTACTTCTATTGGAGCCACGGTCATAGTTGCCGATAACTGGTGTGTAGCACACATTCACAATTGGACGAAACGTCAACTTTCAGCGAAAGATTTAAAAAAAACAAACAGCAATGTTATATTTTCACTAACAAAGTTCATGGACCCTTTCAATTCTACTCATGGACCACTAAGTGTCCTGTAGCCTCAGACAAAAAATCTGGAGAAGCCGGGGGCAAGGCCTCATTCACTAAGCCCCTAATGGTGGTGCGGTAGAGTCACAAGTGCTTATGCTATTCTTTCACCATGCTATAAGGAAGGTAATGTTATAATAGACATTGATATTTGAAAAATGAGAAAACTAAGAGTCAAGAAGTTTTATGTAACCTACCGAGGGTCACATACATCAGGAATGTCAGGTGCAGGATTAGAAGTCAAAGGTCAGATACCACAACCTGTGTATGCTTTTCCCACTGTGCAATGTGACCTAGAGAACCAGCACATCATTCTAAACGGCAGTTAGAAGAGGAACTCACCCAGAGCAAGGAGTTATTTTCAAGAATAGTAGAAAAACATTTGGAAGTGTGGGATAGGGCCCAGATTTTGGAGGTCTCTAAAAAGCATACAAAGAGAAATAAAAGGAAATACTTTGGCACACAAACAAACAAGCAAACAGACTCCTTTAAAAAGATGAAGATGAAAGCAGTATCTAAGGAAAAAATAATCTGATGAATTGTAATGTTAAGGATTATTGTAATATTTTCTGCCCAGAAGATTTTGGAGATGGTCTAAAATGACATTATACTTAAGTACCTTACCTAAAATTAAGTGAACCTTGTGATTAATTTTCTGAAGGTGTGCTTTGATTTTTTTTTTCTGAAGATCTTAACTATTCTTAACTATCACAAAATACACAACATCCAAAAAACAACAAAAAACACATTTGCTATGCTTTTTTTTTCCTTAAACACCCCAAAACACACGTTTACTTACCAACGCTTGTGCAACTTTCACCATCCACATCCAGCTTCCACCCTTCATAACACGAGCACTTGACTTTGTGCTTGTGCTGCTCACACACTTGACTGCACTTTAGATGATTGCTGCAGTAATCCACAGTTTCGCATGTTTTATTGTCTTTGTTGAGTTGAAGTCCTTCTGGGCAGGAACATACAATTCCTCTTCCAGGAACAACAGAACAGTGGTTGCTACAGCCTCCGTTGTTCAGAGAACATTCATCTATAAAAAGAGAAGAATAGATTATAGGACATTATCAAGTGTTTTGCTCAATTAATTACTAATCATTAAACTCAATTCCCTCAGGCTGAAATTAGAACAAGTGTATAATAATGAATAGAAGAAAGCCTTTTGGATTTCATTTTCAGGGGTTGGGATAGGAATGATAAAAGAATTCATCCAATGGATTCTTTGGATTCTATAAGAATGGGCCATGAAAGATTTTTATTTCTATAAAACTTTGGAGTACACTTGGTTATACTCCCTAGAGGTAAAGTGAGTTCAATGTTTCTATTATTACTGGAGCAATTATACTGAGCCTTTAGGAGTTACACAAAATCAATTGTTGAGGTCCTCCAAAACGGATGCACATACACTGGTGATCTGGAAATATGGACTTATCTCAGTGTTTATAA